TTTACGAGCCCCCTTTTCACTTATGAAATTGTTAAATTTCGATAAAAGGAAAGAAGCATTGTTGTTTGAAGTTAAGAAATGTATATTTTACGTCATTAGTCATTAGGATTTAGGTATTACATCACATATATGTAATTGTAATATAATTGTAATATGTATAAGTAGAATTAATTCTTCTCTTCTACTTGCTATTTGTTTAGTTTGTTAGGTCTATAATGTCTCTGACCACATTTGGCTGTGAATCGGGGCATAGCTGGCCAACTGGCAAATAAAATTCCCCCAACGTGTCGGAGGCATTAATAGACGTCATTGTATAGCTCTCCCTTAGGCTTTCTTATCTTTCAAGTTTAACTTATAATGTAATACTACAAATATTTTTATTTTACTTTCTAATATTACCAATTATTTATTGACAGTAAATTTGTTGATTTTTATAAATAAATAAATAAATATGTACCCACAAGAATGTATATGCATATCATTTCTTACTCTTTCAAGTTTTCGAAAGCCTGAAATATTTGTAATCGATATTGGCACTTTATTAAGAAAATTTTGCAGGTTTTTGAACCGATATTTTAATTTATTTGTTATGTTGAGATATTTTTCAAAATACATACTATATATAGTATAGTTTTTGGGGATAAACTTCACTTTTTCAAATGTTAAAATTAATCAACATTTCAATCAACCAATGAAGATGAGTTTTCGAACGTAACATTTCGGAAGGATTTAGTTAGTTTATTTATTTATAGATAACTTTTAAGATATCGATTGTAATTTGTGACTATTTAAGTTTAAGGGTGAAATAAGTTGTACTAGTTCGTAAAGTTTTCCAAGTAGCTTTATTATCAGATCTAGCAAGTGCCCGAATTAACTATATTGGAAAAAAGTTGTTTAATAGTTATATAGATTTAATCCAAAAAATGTAAATAATGCTGGGTTCTTTGGGGTGATAAGTTCAAGTCAATCTCTGTATTATTGTGATGAATATCTCTTGAATATGTGATTAATGTCTCTCCTTAAAGGTAAACAGTTCAAATGTTTAACTCGTTGATGATGATGGATTAGTTATTTAATGAACCAGATTGGCCACTGAGGGGTTATACAAGTACACGAATTCTTCCAGAGTTATGATCAATTATTGCAGCCTTACTCTATCAATGCAAACTTAAAAAAGAAAATGGAAATCATAGCTAGATCGACATTTATTAAAAACTCTATAGATGAATACGATTTTTATGGAATTTACACACTTTAGATGATTTCTTGTTTGGCTCATGTAGTATTACTATATACTGCCAAGGAGGCTCTAACATATTTTCAGAAAAGCGCATTAAGGTACAAGTATGGTTAAAGTAAGAAATCTTTTGCATGATAATACTTTCGATTTCTGGAACAATCACAATCTCAATTTTGTGCTCGTCCCGCACTCTCATGCCTTCGATTTGCCTTTGTATGTGTGTGTGTGTGTGCTCGAGGAGCACGTGTCGTAGCATCGATACGCAGGATATTCACCTGAACTGGCTTGACGCTCCTATGCACCCGTGCCTGGACGATGCGGCCTCAACTCGTATGTCTGTCTGTCTGTCTGTCAGTCTGTTCGTCAGTGTCGACGAGCCCCTTTGGCAAGTTGCGGCCTCACGATGTGCGTGCAGATGGGACTAATCCGCGTTTTAGCCTCTCTGCCAGTCCATATGCATTATCCTTGTAAAGAGGGCGAGACGGCAGAGAAAACTGTTGCGCGTTCACTTCTCTGAGCTGAACTGAGCTGGGGGTGGGATGGAGATGGGGATGGGGTGTCCCATTAACAATTTCAGTGCATTGGCATGACAAGCATGATGGTGCGTTTTTGTATTCGTATTCGCATCCGCCTTCCCTGTACGCTTTGACAAACAAATTAATAAGAAAAGGAGGGCTGGGCCGCATTGTGCGACATGCCCTTGGCCCCAGCTTCGGGACTTCGGGCTTGTGGTCATAATACGCGTAATTTTCCTTTCAGACAAATGGGAGCGGGCGACGCTTATCCCTTGGCATTGCCGGGCAGCACGCCCCGTTCGTCCGTTTGTCGGTCTGTCACAACCCCTGCATCCCCCATTCCCTTCAATTAAACGTTTGTTTGCTCCGCAGTGTGCTTCGTCTATGTTCAATGTTCATGTCCTTGATTCGCGCAGCCAATGCTCGACATAATGACTTTTGATTACTGCGCCATTAAGCGTTTCCAATGGACATGTGTATGGAGAGCGAGTGTGTGTGTGTGTGTGTGTGTGTGTGTTGTACCTCAGAGGAAAGCAAAACTTTGCAGTCCCGTGCACATCTGTTTGCTTTTGGCTCGCCTGTGTCCTGGACGGATCTGGACGGATGGGTCTCCCTCACCATTGTTAGCTCTGGCAATGGCCATGACAAGGCGCTCCGCAGGCACGCAACTCGTAAATATGTCTCCCACTGTGCCCTGATAAGCCGCATTAGACCCGGGTAATCCATTGAAATTGCAAATTGTTGTGCACGCAAATTAAAAGGAATAAAATGTACGAGTACACTCAAATTATCGTTCCTTGCCCGCCACCCCCCCATCGTCTTGCAATTCGTTGTAGACTGCTTTGCTTAAAATGTTGCCTCGCTTTTAAGTCAATTGCGTTTTAAGTGCTCCTCCCTGACTCCTTGACTCCCCGCCTTACTGCCTGCCTCACGACTACCTCACTACATCAGTACCTCACTGTCGAGCGCCCATTGCGAAGCAGTTCATTTTCTACGAATTGTTTATGGCATTTTCTACGCATTCATTGCATAATTTGATTGCCCTACAGCCGCTCATATATGGCGGGAAGGCAAAGGGGAAGGGTATCCATGGCAGTTGAGGCGGTTGAGGATTTGCGCCAGTCCATAAATTCAGCAAGTTTTTCAATAAAGTGCACATTGTGCTTCAATCTGGCTCGAATGTGCGTTGTGTGTGCTGTTTTGTTTGTACGAATAACCAGTATATAGTATACATACATACAAACTTACATACAGGCACATACATACATATACTTGTATATGTATATTGCGTATACGTCATGTTGAGGCTTGCCTGGCTAGCCGCCACATAACAAGCAGTCGCTCCACTTGGCAACATGACATAAAGCCATCAATCGTCTTGGTCCTGCTCGGACCGGAGGGCTTCGGGTGCGGTTTCGCCTTCGACCGGCCGCAAAGCCCAGAAAGTCAAGCGTCTTGAAATGTCTTGCCGTTATAGCCAAATGGCCCACCACGGCTGGGCACACCAGATGCCCACTGCCAGCTGCAGTGCACATCAATTTCGAATTGCACATTGCATGTTGTGCCACGCCCCGCTTGCCCCCTTCTGCCTCCGCCTCCGCCACCCACAGCAATGCATGCGTAAGCTGGGTGTGCACAGTCGGATGGGTCTCTTCTGTTTCTTCCACAATTCTTTAGTTTTCGCCGTCGTCGCTTCGACTTGTAATGCGCTTGTAATCTTGGCCATGTTTCTTGTTGTTCCTCCTTTTTCCATGCGAATATTGCTGGGAATGGCTGTTAAATGTTTGTGAGTGCGTACGTGTATTGGTCCCAAAGCCGTTTTGGCCTTACCTCTCTCTCGCCCTCATTTTCAATCTCTACTGTTATTGCCTTACACTTTGGCATCTTCCTATGTTTTATTCGCATCCCATAAATTACCTTTTATTTTACACGGTTGTTAAAATGGCGTTCATTTCAGCTTGAGCCAAAACTTTTGCACGACTGCTGAAGTTATTTTTTGAATTTTTATTTGTGTTTGTTTCTTGAAGTTGCTAAAGTTTCGTTGCAAAAGTTCTGTTGTCAAAACCGATTCTCCACTAATGGGTTGGACCTTAATTAGTTGACGAAGAACCTGCTGGTGTTAACACCGTTATTTAATTATTTCCACGAATTTTTTTATGTTATCTATTTGCTATATTCTTCGTTTTGCAAATGGTCTGGGATTTTATAGCCCCTCTATTCAAAATAAATGTCTTTTACCCTTTAATGTGAATCAAAATTACAGCAATTCCTTCCAAACATTAACCATTGCTGTAGATTAGAAAACAGTTCCATAATGGTAAATCACACGTATAATTCAACGAAGTGCTCAATGACTTTTGGAGCTTCTGTGATGATGCCTTGTCTGATCTTATCGTATTTTATGTTGGAATTATTGATTGCAGAAGTTGATCTACAACCAAAATCGAGACGCGGACACGTGTCTTGTCTACGGACATGCAATGTATTTCATTTCCATAATTGATAGATGAGCCTTTCAATTTCTATTACTTAATTACTATTTTCAACGCCACCATCTGGTTGCCTAGTTTTTGGGAAATACATCTTATTATACATATGTATGTATCTCTTATAATTTGGAAATAGGTTTGTTTATTTGCAAATCAGACTCATATAACAGACTTCTTATACACATTTTTAAATAGCTGACCGTGTCGGATTCGTTATTAGATATTTTTGTCATTTTTATAGGCTTTTTTATTTCTTTAATTTTATTTAGTTTAAGTTCTCTATTGTATTGATTTTTTTTTTATGTACATCGACTGCATTGTTTGTCGATGAAAAATAAATAAATAAAAAGAAAAGTGTACAAATTCTGCAATTATGCTACAAAAACAAAATTTATTTGTTAAATTAAATATATCGAACAGCTACGAAATAGAAAACTTTTGTAAAACAGAGCGCGCCAAAAGCGAAACAGCTGATCGATTGACACCAGTGCTGCGTAATTTGTGTGGAGTGACGCCTCCTAACACTGATCACAGGGAGGCTTTTCTTTAAGAAAGTTTCTTGCACATAATTTACATGCATACATAAGTAAGTTGTTTTATGTTTGTCGAGAGGGGAGTAATGGAGCGATATAATACAACTTTATTCAATGGACCAAAAATAGATTAAGTTAGAATGGTGCCTTCCTTGTGGCATTATGACATTATATTCTAAACTAGTCGGCAAACTGTAGTTATTAATAAAAAAAAAGCAACGCATTCACATAAAACATACATAAATTTATAAATAAAATTGAACAAAAATATAATTTTATAAACGATATAAATAGTTTGCGTTGAATTGCTGGTTATTAATTATATTTGATATCTATATTTTGGTCATCATTTCCGTTATATTCTCCATCATGCTGTTGATGTTGGGGCGTTGAGTGCATTTGAAAATATTCATCGTCTACATCGTCAGCGAGGTCGAACTCCTCCTCTATAGTGCGTGAGTAGTCCTCGATTTCCTCTTCATCTAGGTGGGGTTCGCCATTCGCAAAATTAGCAAATTGCATCGGATTCCGCAAACGACGCATAAGCTATGAAAATTAGATAGGATTCGGGGTGTGGAAAAGAGTGTTTATAAGTAACTCCTTACATTCCATTGCTGGCAGTTGGGACTGTTCACATATTCGCGAAGCTCGGCTAGAGAGCGGGTCGTTTCGTCCAGGCTTTGCTGGTTGTATTCATCTACAGATAGTAGACGGCGCTTAGGCGGAAAACGCCGACGATACTTTTTTTTTAGATAGAATATCCCCGATAATGGTACGTAATCGCCCATAAATGTGAGGACCAGAATAGCTATGGTGACACGAGTGTGCCAGTTACTGAAATAAACGAGAGCAGCACCACTAGCTTGTAGTACCCACTTGACGATGTTCTGGGAGCGTGGGTTCCGGGGCGGTCCAATGCGGTAGCATATCAGTAGTGATGTGAAGCCTGTAAAGGCGATATATCCCAGAAGGTAATGGCTATAGTTGACTAAAATTAATCTCATGTTATCCATCAGCTGCTTCAGTATGTAGAATCCAATGGTCCATCCTCCAATTAGCACGCCGTACATTAGAGGATGTCTATAAGAGGGGCATTACAGGAGTGTCACAAAGTTCCATTATTTCGACGGCCCGCTTACCTGGGTAGCAATTTAGCCGTTATCGTTATAATAACCACCAAGGAGGCACAAATACCCAGAACCATCCCGGCTATATAGTAGAATATAGTGTTTTTTGCCAGTCTGCTAGCACTACAGACTATTATAATGCCAACGATCAGTTGCTTCAACCGGAACAGATCGAAACGAATATGTTTTAGCTCGACCTTGTAGGGCTCTTTAGTTTCCACGCCAACACAGTGCTGTTCATTGGGAGAGATCTGCATGCGTGGGTGTTTCTCGGAAAACAAATTGAACCGCTTCACCGAATCCATTTCGTTGAAGTGCTTCAAGACTTCCTCAGGAGTGCGGCCTCCATACTCAGTGTATTCACTATTCTGAATGTTAACAATAAGTTCCATCGTTTCGAACATATCCAGTAATGAGAAGGGTTTCCCAATGTAGCAATAAGTACGCAGTGTATCGGTTCCATACCTCCTTCCTTCCACTTCAATAGAAGCTCCCGGATTCAGGTATACTGTGTTCATTATTGACGAAGCAAATGATAATGGGACGAAGGCCATTATTACCACGAGCACTTGAATGTTTACCTTTGCCGGCATTACTATTTTGTTTTATTTTTGTCGATTTATTTTGTTTGTCAAATATTAAATAGAACTAATTAACATGAAACACCTCGCTCACTACGATCCTGTACCTAAATAAATAATAAATAAATAATATAGATACACAACATATTTTTTAGATACATATGTTGGCATTAGGCAAGTTTTCTGATCCTTCTATCTGCACCGGTCCGAGAAATGCTTTCAGCCTCTCGACCTTGTAATTAAATTTCCTTATTTCATCCAAAAATAAAATAGTAAATGTGCATAATTTATGTTGTTAGCTGCTGGGTTGATGTTATTAACACTTATTAAACACATTCTGTAATATTTCATGCATGATAGAATTACAAACTGTGTTTGGATTTAAGTTGTGCACCATGTTCCAATCACAAATGATAGAACTGACAAAAGTAAATATTTACTCAGACCGCGAATATCATTATCGGTACAAAGGAATGGGATTTAATAAGCGATTGATCCTAACCAAAAGTACATTCTTTATATTTTAAAAAATATATACTTTTAAAATAATTTAGTTATAATTAATAAAATAAAAAATATATAACACGTACATAGAGCCGTCGATTCAATACATTAATGGTGAAATGTATAGCTTTTGTTTGTGATACCACCTGGCTTGAATGAAATGGATGTATGGGTAGACGCCGGATAATATCAGGTCAGAAACTAAAAATGATTATAGATTTGCCACCATCCGTCGCCTTAAAGACCCGAATAAATTGATGTACTATTACTTAAAAAAATGTTGCCATACTTGTATAAAGTCTATTTCGGCTTACTATAAAATGGAACTGATTTGAATTTTTTGAAGAGTTTTTATTGATCATATGCACAAATTATTATTTAAACGCATGGCGTATTGTTTAATCAATATTTTAATTTTCAGCCAGCATTTTTTGTTCAAAAATTAAAAAGAAATTCCTTTCTTAAAACAGTTGCTTCATTGTCAGGCTAGAAAAATTTCGGACTGGCTATGGAGGTGCTTTAGTGATTTCAGTTTTTATGGCTCAAAAGACATGTCTATATCGATGCTAGATACATTTGGCGTTTAGGCCTTCTAGTGTACGCTTTTGATTACAATAAACCCAGAGTCTTAATGTGAATGTAGTTACATAAATTAGATTCGATTTAAAATTACACCTTCCGTGTTATCATCATATATTCCAGACCCGTTTTAACATTTATTTCGTAAGTTGCCATTTATTCAAAAACATTTTCTTCGCGTAAAGCGGCTTAAGTGAAGTAAAACAACAAATATTTATTTAATGTGCAGCCAATTCAAATTACCATTTTGCAGTGCCAGTCTTGATTAAATATTTAATTAAATTATGTAATGCATCAATCACCCAATCAATAATCGCTTCACTAGACCAGCTTCCCTCCAACCAAAATAAAGCTTTGCACAAGCCAAAATACAAGATCCATACGAATAGTATGTTCATTTAAATGTGATTTTTCATAATATGTCTAATCCGATATAACAATCAAACGTCAAGTGTTGCACACGTTGTTGTTGTTTGTATTTAAGAACAGCTTGCATTTCACGTTCTATTTCTATTTCTCTACGATTAGTTGATAAATTTTCAATAGGCCGCTGGACAAAAGTGCATTTCAATGAAAGGATTTGTTTGCAAATACACAGAATTCTGAAACAAATGCGGTCGTAATTGAGTTGAAGTTGAATGCAGCTTTGCAACTTTAAGCATGTCAAATGGAAGTGGAAAGGACTACTTGCCAATGACATTAGAGAATGATGCTAGCATAAACGAGTTGTATGTATGTATGTATGAATGTATGTGGCACGGCCAGAGAGGTTAACAAGGAGCCACAGCAGAGCAGAAACCACCTGCCCGCATTTGAAACCGAAGGCAAACATTGAAAGAAATCACACCTTGTGTCAGTTCCCTTTCCGTTGTTGACGCCCCGCTCCGCTCCTCTCCGCACGGCTCTGATCTCATCTGCGGCTGCTCTTTGCATGTGGTGCGTTGTCCTCGTCGTCCTCGACTTGGCAAACAAGGTCCTGGGCACACATGCTCGACTCGCAGAACGACGATGGCGGCGGCCGGTGCGTTTGTTTCGCTATCAACTCAATCGCAGCTCCGAGATCTATTTGTGAACAACTCAAATTACCATTTCGATTCAGTTTTAATGAGATTTGCCCGCTTTCATCTGCCACTGCAGCAGCAGGAGCAGCAGCAGCAGCAGCAGCAGCATGCAGAACGTGCCGCAGGACGAGTAGAAGCGGCAAGCGTAAGTTGTGGGGTTGTAATATCATTTTCTGCTCGTTATTTTGTCTCCTTTTCTAGTCCTGTGTGCCTGGCTGCCTGCCTGCCTGCCTCGCTGTAGTTGCTCCCAATCGATTGCATTATGGAGACGCTTGCGAGTGCAGATTACATGGAAGCCGGCGCACATATAAACAGCTGGGGCCAACCACACACAGATACAGCTACACTGAGAGATAAACTTAGGAATATACACGAAAAGTGTACACAATCAAAGATTTCTCTCGGAGCTGCACTTTAAACGATTTCTTCACAAAGCAATCTCCTCAATACAGTACAGTTTTTCATGTTCGTCACAGCCCCTTCCTGTTAAAAAATTTGCATAGATTTAATAAATGACCTGCAAGATAAAAGATGACGCACCCTGTACTATATGTTTAGTTTCGCATAACAACAGCACCGCGTATGTCAGAGTGGATTTATTTGAGTTGTAATAAAAACTCTTTGTATGTTTCTATTTGAAATTTTCCTCGTTTTAACATAAATTTAAATAAGATTGTTTTGCTTTGATATTCACTTTCAAGACTAAAACTATTAATTATTTATTTTCCCAATACATTTCCTTGTTAGCGGTAAAAGCCCATCCCATTACTTTGATTGAGTTGAATCGAATCAATCGACATGAATAGCATCACCTGGTTAGTTGGAAAGGTACATCGGTTACTGATCTCCAGTTAAAATGTTATGAAATGAAATGAGCATGGGACAACGATCCAATATTATATAAAATTTTGTTTCAAGTTTGGTAAATATTTTACCGAAACATTTCTTTTGGTATCCAAAAAACACCGCCCCGAGATGTATGTATTTGTAAACTGAAGTTATTGTTTTGTATTTGTAAGTATTAAGAAATATTTCATTTCAGCACCTTTTGCCTATAATGAAAGGAGCTGTACCTGCTTGGAATGCGAATTAAAATGCTTTGGAGATATATTTTTGAAGTGATTTGATCATTCGTTCTGGTGTCATAGGTAAGCTTGTCTGAAAATGGGCTTTCATTGCCTGACATAGCTCAATGAGCTGAGAACAGATCTTAAAAAAATATTAAAGAAGATTAAAAAAAAATTCCTGGGAAAAGCAAAATGTCATATATTTTCTTCCTGTGTACACATATGGACGCTAAGGACGTTGCTATATGTTTGTGTGCATCCTTCAGTTTGTTTTCGATACGTTGTAGATGCATCTTATCGGCAGAACAGCATCTTGGCAAGCGTACTTTGTTGTGGACCCCGGCTTACAAATGCTGGCAGACAAGGCAATCGTTTATTCGTGTTCCAGGCGTGTGCCCCGAGCAGCAGGTCCTGGCACCGTTCATACATTTGTAATCTTTGCAAGCACACGCTTCATTGCCTCCACATTGGAAATTCGCCTGCGGTCGACAGGTTAAGCAGTATGTTGGGGATACCGAGCTGCTGAGGTTACCTATAAAAAATCAGTGAACCAATTAATGCCGCGCACATGCCGCGACGTTCCGATGACCCTGCCAATGCCCTTGGCTGGTGCAGGATGTCGAACATATTCTCCTTTGTCCTCCGGTCAGCGATAATGCCACCAAAAGTTCATTTTTTTTTTGTTTTGGTTTTTTCGCGTGTGCATTAAACACACGTCCCTCCAGTCGTAATCGGAAGCATGGCCACATACAGGGGCAGGGGCAACGAGTTCTCTTCATTTGGGTTGTAAAGTAATAAAAGAAGAGCATGTAGCCGTGCACTTGTGTCCCTTAGGGGCAGTTGCTGGCACTTGTTCCGGTGTCGAGTTGCAGACGCGGCCTCAATTTTGTGCAAGCTTGCTGGCTTCTGCACTTTACGCACATCCAGCCAGGTGTACGTCCATGTCCATGTCCGTGTCCATGTCTATATCCATATCCACTTTCAAGTGTGGGTGTTCAATGAATTGTGTTAAAAATGTGGATTTATTGATTTATAAGTCGAAATTTAATTGAAAATTGTAGGTGGGTTTGAGCCCGTTGTCTCACCCCATCCTTGGTCTTGGTTTCTAGATTTATGAGAACAACACTGTGCCTGGCATTTAACAAGCTGCATCGTGTCGAGTCTACATTAAACACACACATCCACACACATACGGATGTACTACTCGTATGTAGTACACCATCCGAGCAGGTGTTTATGTGCGGCTGGCGATTGTGGCTAGGTACGAGAATTCTACTTGTATATAGTATGGCTGGGGCCACACTAATTAGAAAGTGCAGCAAAATTGTGTATGTAATATAAATACTTATGTGCGCAAGTCTGTAGTCGTAGTTGGCAAAGTTTTTCGAAAAGAATATCCACGAAAATTGCAAGGATGTGCAGTAAAATTTAATTAATGTGGCTTTAGATTCATCCGAGCAGCGACGCGTCGCTGGGTGCGGGCCAGGAATGGTAGAGAAGAGCTCTTAGTTTGAAATAAAGCTACTTCAGGAGCAACTAAGAAGTCGACTAAGCTGAAATGCTTCAGCCACTACTTTCCTATGTCTGGCTTAAATGCAATACCAATTCTGTCTTTAATGCTCTTTTGAACAGAAGCGCATTTAATTGGAAACAAGAAAGCACGATAAAGTCATGCAAGCCCGACAGTCAAATACTCCTTACCCAAACAAACAGAAGCTAAAGAAGAAGCTTCAAATTCACGGATTTGGGTAAATATAAGTAGTACGTATTCATGATGGGTTTATGTAGCTTTGAAATTATTGCCACTAT